TTTCTTATCTTCAAAAAGATGCCTTGTTGGCTGAAAACACCAAGATATTAAGCAGTACATTTGTTTTGGCAAAACCAATTGATTCAATGAGGCTGGAGGAGAAAGCCCATTGATTAAAAGTATATACTTTTCTCCTAGTTCCTGCAGTTTTCTTGGCAATATTTCCAGATGTGGCTTGTCCTTGCCTTCTTTCTAAAGCTGTAAGAGAAGGACTAACCAAGATCACCAACTGTAGTAAAAATGGTTGTAAAATCAGATACGTTCATGTGTTAACTTGCTTTACAATTGCTTCGACTTAAACCAGAAACTCCAGTCCCAATTGTGGTTGTGAGTCAAAGACTCCCTGTATGTTTGTTTGTTTAAGTACAAAATGTTGACTTCAGTCCTTCTGCTAACAAATCTAAGACATTCCAATTGCACTGAAGGACAGTTTATACAAAAGAGTGTTACATTTTTATCCATGCCAAGAACTGTAGGAATGAGTCATAGGCAGCAATGCCTTTCTGTCAGTGAAATGTTACAACCAGTGACTCAAATCCTTCCCACTTGCAAAATTTTGAAAAGCCCCTTTGGAGCAGGCCACCAAAAACCTCCAATCCAGGCATATTTAGCAATTGTTGGAAATGTAGACAAAATCCAGGCACTTATTACCATCTTTGGTGGGCATGCCCCAAAGCCAAAAGATTCTGGTCAAGAATACACATATGGTTAGAGAAAATGACACAAACAAAATGTAGATTTTAAGCCAGAATTATTTTTGCTAGGCATAATAGTAGGAAATTATGAGAAAGAATGTATATATCTAATTTTACATATATTAACTGCAGCGAGAATTGTACTTGCTCAACATTGGAAAAATGAAGATTTATCAACAGAGGAAGAGTTAATTTAAAAAAATTGAGATTGTGCAGAAATGGATAGATTGAAAACTGAAAATGAAAGAGAAAGAAGATTCAGTATATTTTAGGACATGGGATAGTTTTTATCAATGACTAGAAAAATGAGGTAGAGAGAAAGGAATTTAACATGTATTAGTAAGTTAAATGTTGGAACCCAGACAATATGTTGCTGATAAAATATTAAGCGTTTATGATTATAAAAAAATTGTATATATGTATATGTGTGTATATATATATATATGTGTGTAGGTCTTTGGTTGTTCGGGTTTTCTCCCGCATAAAATTGGAAGTGTCTTGGCGACGTTTCGACGAAGTCCCATTCGTCATCTTCAGGCTGGTGTTTTCAGCTTCGTGCTTCGAGCAGCAATGTGTGGTCTTAGCTGTTTCTTCCTTTTAACTGCCAGTGGGGGTATGAACTGATTGGGTGGGAGCTTGGCTGTGTTCTGATTGGGTGGAGGTGTGTTCTGATTGGTTAGGGGCTTGGCTGTGCTCTGATTGGCTGGGGGGTTGGCTGTGCTCTGATTGGCTGGGGGGTGGCTGTGCTCTGATTGGCTGGGGGAGTGTTCTGTTTGGTTGTGCTCAGGTTAGTCTGAGTTGCAGAGGGGTTTAAGATTTTGGGCTGCCTTGCTATTTTTTGGCTTCACGTTCGTGGTCGTGCCTCATCTTCATGGAGGGTGTCAGTTTGCTTCATGTATGGATTGGAGGGGTTTAAAGTGGCTAATGATGCAGCTGGTCTGGCTTCTGGTTTGTGGTTGTGCCTCATCATCGGTGTGGCTTTGGGTTTGTTTTTTGCGTGGATGTGTGGTGGTGACATCCTGTGTGGTTTTTGTGAGTGTGGGTCTGGTATCATTTTTTGTGTTAGGGAGTCGTTTGTCAATAAGGGCGGGTTTCCAAATGGCTGGTAGGCGGGAGGTATCATCTCGCTTGTTCATGCTCTGTGGGCGTTTTTCTATCTCGATGGCTTCTCTGATTATTCTGTTATTAAACATATATATATATATATATATATGTTTTCTGAGGTTTTCGCGGGTGTTTGTATGTAGGTCTTTGGTTGTTCGGGTTTTCTCCCGCGTAAAATTGGAAGTGTCTTGGCGACGTTTCGACGAAGTCCCATTCATCACCTTCAGGCTGGTGCTTTCAGCTTCGTGCTTCGAGGAGCAATGTGTGATCATAGCTGTATCTTCCTTTTAATTGCCAGTGGGGATATGAACTGATTGGGTGAGAGCTTGGCTGTGTTCTGATTGGGTGGAGGTGTGTTCTGATTGGTTAGGAGCTTGGCTGTGCTCTGATTGGATGGGGGGGTTGGCTGTGCTCTGATTGACTGGGGGAGTGTTCTGTTTGGGTGGGGGCTTTGTTGTGCTCAGGTTAGTCTGAGTTGCAGGGAAATTTGATATGGTGAGTTGTGTTGCTGTTGTTTGGCTTTGCATTCGTGGTCGTGCCAGGTATCAATCAGAGAAGCCATCGAGATACACCCACACAGCATGAATAAATGAGATGATACCTCCCACCTACCAGCCATTTGGAAACCCGCCTGATTGATAAACGAGTCCCTAACACAAAGAATGACAGAAGACCCACACTCACAAAAATCACACAGGATGTCACCACCACACATCCATGCAAAAAACAAACCCAAACCCACACCGATGATGAGGCATGACCACAAACCAGAAGCCAGACCACAGCTGCATCATTAGCCACTTTAAACCCCTCCAATCCATACATGAAGCAAACTGACACCCACCATGAAGATGAGGCACGACCGTGAATGCAAAGCCAAACAACAGCAACACAGCTCACCATATCAAATCTCCCTGCAACTCAGACTAACCTGAGCACAACAAAGCCCCCACCCAAACAGAACCTCCCCCATCCAATCAGAGCACAGCCAACCCCCCATCCAATCAGAGCACAGCCAACCCCCCATCCAATCAGAACACATCTCTACCCAATCAGAACACAGCCAAGCTCTCACCCAATCAGTTCATACCCCCACTGGCAGTTAAAAGGAAGAAACAGCTACGATCACACATTGCTCCTAGAAGCACGAAGCCGAAAACACCAGCCTGAAGATGTCGAATGAGACTTCATCGAAACGTTGCCAAGACACTTCCAATTTTACGGGAGAAAACCTGAATAACCAAAGACCTACAGAATATATATATTCTGAGGTTTTTGCGGGTGTTTGTATGTAGGTCTTTGGTTGTTCGGGTTTTCTCCTGCGTAAAATTGGAAGTGTCTTGGCGACGTTTCGACAAAGTCCCATTCGTCATCTTCAGGCTGGTGTTTTCAGCTTCGTGCTTCCAGGAGCCATGTGTTGTCTTAGCTGTTTCTTCCTTTTAACTGCCAGTGGGGGTATGAACTGATTGGGTGGGAGCTTGGCTGTGTTCTGATTGGGTGGAGGTGTGTTCTGATTGGCTGTGGGGTTGGCTGTGCTCTGATTGGTTGGGGGGGTTGGCTGTGCTCTGATTGGATGGGGGAGTGTTCTGTTTGGTTGTGCTCAGGTTAGTCTGAGTTGCAGGGGGGTTTAAGATGGTGGGCTGCCTTGCTATTTTTTGGCTTTGCGTTCGTGGTCGTGCCTCATCTTCATGGAGGGTGTCAGTTTGCTTCATGTATGGATTGGAGGGATTTAAAGTGGCTAATGATGCAGCTGTGGTCTGGCTTCTGGTTTGTGGTCATGCCTCATCATCAGTGTGGCTTTGGGTTTGCTTTTTGCGTGGATGTGTGGTGGTGACATCCTGTGTGGTTTTTGTGAGTGTGGGTCTGGTGTCATTTTTTGTGTTAGGGAGCCGTTTGTCAGTAAGGGTGGGTTTCCAAATGGCTGGTAGGCAGGAGGTATCATCTCGCTTGTTCATGCTGTGTAGGCGTTTTTCTATCTCGTTTTTCTATCTACATCGAGATAGAAAAATGCCCACACAGCATGAACAAGCAAGATGATACCTCCCACCTACCAGCCATTTGGAAACCCACCCTTACTGACAAAGGGCTCCCTAACACAAAAAATGACACCAGACCCACACTCACAAAAACCACACAGGATGTCACCACCACACATCCACGCAAAAAGCAAACCCAAAGCCACACCGATGATGAGGCACGACCACAAGCCAGAAGCCAGACCACAGCTGCATCATTAGCCACTTTAAACCCCTCCAATCCATACATGAAGCAAACTGACACCCTCCATGAAGATGAGGCACGACCACGAACGCAAAGCCAAAAAATAGCAAGGCAGCCCACCATCTTAAACCCCCCTGCAACTCAGACTAACCTGAGCACAACCAAACAGAACACTCCCCCATCCAATCAAAGCACAGCCAACCCCCCATCCAATCAGAGCACAGCCAACCCCACAGCCAATCAGAGCACAGCCAACCCCACAGCCAATCAGAACACACCTCCACCCAATCAGAACACAGCCAAGCTCCCACCCAATCAGTTCATACCCCCACTGGCAGTTAAAAGGAAGAAACAGCTAAGACCACACATTGCTCCTGGAAGCACGAAGCTGAAAACACCAGCCTGAAGATGACGAATGGGACTTTGTCGAAACGTCGCCAAGACACTTCCAATTTTACACGGGTGAAAACCCGAACAACCAAAGATAGATAGATAGATAGATAGATAGATAGATAGATAGATAGATAGATATAAACCTCCAGAACAGGGACAGTTTTCTCAAACTGGAGGAGTTTTCAGTAAAACATGCAGTTACACCTCATAATGTCTCTGCCTGTTTTTCAGTGAGGTTTGAAAAATTTGTGTTCACCATAAATTCCGCTTTTTACAGAATATTCATCTGAACATTTTGCAACCTCTCTTTGATCTGTAGAACAAAGTAGATATTTTAAAAGCCATCTATCGTCTTTTTTGCCTGTGTTGGTTTAAGGATATATCCTCACTCAAAAGAAAATAAATCTGTGGGAATTCCTCACTGAATGGATTCCGGCTTTGCTGGGCTGCACTGCATAGCCAGTTCAGCTTCACTTCTGTGCAAGGAATAGAATGGCAATAAGTTAGTGTTTTTTACCTCTAAAAATTACTTATCACAGTTTGTCCATAATGACCTATTTTATTGTTGCTGTTTGCTTTATTGTACAGCAGACAAGAATATTTCCAGCATGACCAACAGACCCACTCGTGGCAAAATGGAATGGATCATTCCTCTCATTGTGGTCTCAGCCTTGACATTTGTGTGCCTAATCCTTCTTATTGCTGTGCTAGTTTACTGGAGGTGAGCCTTTCTAAATAATTTCAACTATATTATGGTAAATGTTTTTGTGACTTTATTCCCTCTGGACGATTTCCTATTTTGTCATGAGGAGAAAAAAAAAACTTTGACAATCAGCTATTTATTTCCAGCTCAACAATTTTATGTCATGAAAATGATGCAGAAGAAAGGCATGTCCTTTGTATGTAAAGGACTCCAATATCAAGAAATTCTGAGGAAGTCCTCCATTATCTGAGACCATGGACCAGTGATTCCAGATCTTGCCTCTTGGATCTGTTAGGCTTCAGCTTCGATCACTGCTGAGTAACAGTCAGTGGGTTACAGGAGCTGGGACTCAACAGTATGGGAGAAAAAAACATTTTAATGCTGCATCTAGTTGAGATTAGATGAATGGTCCAAGGTATCTGGGATCACTGTGAACTATGTTGGCTTTCATTTCATAAGATGATATTATCTACAACAATTGTTCTCAGCCTGTGGTCCATTGACCCCTGGGGGGCCACGAAGGCTTGAAGAAATGTTATGATTTAAATCTTGAGTTAGGTCTTGGTGGTCTGTGATCATTATCCATGGCCACAAAAGCTATTTAAAGGAGGTCCATGATGAAGAAAAGGATGAGAACCACTGATCTTCAGCAACAATCATAAGTGGTTTACTCCAGAATAAATCCCAGGTGAGATAGCTTTTTAGTTGTTTGCAATTGATCTTTGACTATATCACTGAACAATGTAAGAAGTATTGAATGTATTATTACATTGGTAACCATCAGTTAAAAAAAAATAAAATATGAGCATTTTAAAACATATACACAACTATCACCCCCTTAATGAGCTTCCATGAACAGAAATAGCAGGACAGTCCTCCATGGGCATAAAAACACAAATGCATCATCACACACACATACACATGCCACACACCTCTTATTCAGATACCATGGATTTTTATTAAGTTGACTAAAACTAAATGTGATGATTTTAAGACTGAAAAAAGTGGGAGAAGGTATTTAGAACAAAGCAAGAAATAAACAATATAGGTAATGTTAAGGAAAATGTTGATTTGGGTTAAGGTTTCTGCTTCCTTTCTGATCTGATTGCATCATTTCTCACACATATCTGTCACAGTCCATAAGATCAAATCTAGTGGTTAAGGCACCAGTCTAGAAATCACAAGACGGTGAGTTCTAGTCCCATCTTAGGCATCAAATCCAACTATGTGATTTTGGGCCATTCTCTCTCAGCCAAACTAACACCACATGGTTATTCTTGTGGGGAAAAGAGGAGGATAAGAAAGGAGAATTAGGTATGTTCACCACCCTGAGTTATTTTTAAAAATAAAGGCAGGATAAAACATAATTTAAAAATGGTTGCATCCAAATGCCCAGTCATATTCAGAAATACAAGAACAAGCTTCTATCGACCTCTTTTTTTGTATCTTCTCCTCTCCTCTGATTCAGCCATTTCCTTTAGCTGCAGTTTGCCATGATACCCAAACATCCAACCAATGTTATATCTTGACTAGTATCTACTGAAGTTAGGTTTAGTCTAAAATTAGAAGCAGAAGCTTCTGATCTCATGGTGTCTCCAGAAAAGAGGTGAAGATGAGTGTATGAGCTTAAACACTGCAGCACTTCTTGTAACCCTCACTCATGTCTGAATATCATGCCTGAATAGTCGTTGATATTTGGTATATGTGCATTAGCCCAGAGGATAAATGGCAGTCATCTCAAGGCACTCAGAGATAAATGGTAAGTGTACAAGAATCTATTCTAACAAAGTTCACTCTGCTTCATGTTGATGTTTATATTTTTGATTACATCAGGCTGTGATTTACCTCGCGGGCCTGGTTTTTCTTTGGTTTCCTTTTCATTCTAGTAAGCATTTACTTTAAATGATGGGGTTTTTTTATAGTTCTGTGGACTTATTCTCATGAGCTGCTCAGAGTTGCTTTTTAAGGCCACACAGATCTTTTAAATGAATAAATATTTATTTACTCATACTATTTTAGACTTGAGTTAGGTCAAAGGCAAAAATATGACATAAAAGGCAACATGTAAAGTGATGAAGGTGAGTTGAGGGGAACATTTTTCTTCTCAAAAGGAAGCACACCGTCAAGAGGATAATTGTAAACAAGAACAGTTCTTGGTGTGGATATAACTGGGAGATAAATATGGATAGGTACATTATTATTACCATTAAGCTCACTGTCCTCATCTGTCCAATAGCCAGCTATATGGGTAGATTCTAAATAAATTTAAAACACTAAATTTTTAAAGAGAAATAAAAGCTATTTAATCTTCAAATCAGTAGCAAATGATTAATAAATAAATGGTCAATCCAGGTACCAATAGAATCTATACTTTTTGGGAATTAACATGCTGTGTCCCCCAAGTATCTCCCGTATTACTGATGATTCCCAACTTACCTGAAAACATTATGTAACCAAAACTGTGGTTTGATGACCAGCAACGTGAAAAATAGCAATTAATTGTAAAGATTCATCTAGTGTTCATAAAAATTACAAAGAGAAGCAAGATGGCATAAAATGCTTCTCCCGTTACTGGGGTTCTCCTGATCTTCCCTGTTTCTTTTTCTTTTGACTATTTGTGCTCCATTCTATCTTCAATCTAACTAGTTGAACAAAAAGTAACCAAGATAATACAGGTGGTCCTTGACTTACAAACGCAATTGGGACCAGAATTTCCTTGACTAAACAAAGGGGCTTTTAAGCAAGTTGCGTCTGATTTTATGGCCCTTTTTGCCATGGTTGTTAAGAAAATCACTGCAGTTGTTAAATGAAACACATTGTCAGTAAGCAAATATGGCATCCCCCGTTGACTTTGCTTGTTGGAAGCCGGCTGGCAAGGTTGCAAGTGGCAATCACATGAGCCCAGAATGCTGCAATGCCATAAATACATACCAGGTGTCAAGCACCTGAATTTTGATCATGTGACCATGGGAATGCTATAGTGATCATTTGTACAAGGACCAGTTGTAGGTCACTTTTTTCAGTACCATTATAACTTCAAATGTTGCTAAATGAGCGGTTGTAAATCAAGGACTACCTGTAGGCAGAGGCAAGCTTCTATATTCCCCACACCTACCACTCGTCTCCCGTTTGCTGCCTGAATGAGTTACTGGGTGGTATCAACCTGGCTTCATCAACAGTTCTATGAGTTATAAACACATGATACGTGTTTTTTGAAGTCATGTCAGAAGCACTGAGGGGCTTCCGGGTTGAAAGGATTAGTGACATCACCGTTGCCCGGAGGACGCTGAGTTGGGGGCTCCTTTCATGTTCCCTGCAGGAGCTGGAGTGAAGGACAGGAGCTCAACCCTGCCCCACAGCAGCACTCGGGTCTTGAACGCAGGCTTGCTAGCCTCCATCCCAGCGTCCTAACCACATGAGCCACAGTATTCCTATGACATGTGTTAGAGAACCTGAAAACGTAATTGCCTGTCTTTGTTATTTGAAACATGGTGCTTTTGATTTCTAAGAGTTTTGTCCACTTGGATATGATCTTGTGCTTTCCTGCAGAATATTTGCTTGCTGTTTTACTCTTGTTCATCATACACACAGTAATACTAGTTATTTTGAATGATACATATTTACATACATATTTACTTCCCTGCAGGAAACAATGTTCTCCTTTCCCTTTCCCTTTCCTTCCTTTGCTTTGCTGGAAGCTTCTGAAATGGGACTCCTAGAAAGTTCCATCTAAACTTAATCTACCTCATTCCCCCACCAAATATGACTACCATTGGGTTATAATTACACACCATTGCAGTGATTAATATTAAAAAATAAAAATTTTTCCTTGTTTTCTTTTTTAATTGTGTATGCTGCAGCTCCAACCCAGTTGATATTGTTGTACCAACTGCTGTCTTATTTTCCTTTTGGAATGCCTGATCATTTTAGAGACAAGAGATCTGAGTCTTTTATTTCATTTCAATTCTTCATAGTTATTATTTGGAATATTAGTTGGAAAATTGCAGTTGTGCACTCTGGAACAGGAGAGGACTTGTCCTTTGTGTGACATCCTTTCAGATATTTGAACATTATTATCCTATCACACATCCATCTTCTCTTCTGAAGGCTAAACATGCCCACCTCTTTCCATTTTGCTTTATAGAAACTTGTTGCTACTCTAATGATCACTGCAGTGGTTTCCAATTTGTCTGAGTGTGGTACTCTAAATTGGATACAAGATTGGAGAGGCAGCATGATCAATGCACCACAAAATTGCTTCTAAAATTTGTAAACTATACTTCTGTTGATGCAACCTATCAACAGAATTGGTTTTCATTCAGTGACTATTAGAGCTGGCCGGGTGGGTAACAGGCAGCATCATTATAGCAGCATTCCTACTGTGTGGTCCACAACTCTATATATGTAATCTTTATTCGAGGTGTTTTTGTTTCCAATAGATTGTTGTGAGATCTTATTTATCAAATTTCTTTGCCGACCATCTTGCTGTTCAGGTGACTCTCAACATGCAAAGCAACTTAGGCCAGCAATATATAATCATGTAGATATCGCAAACTGTGATCCTAGAAACCAAAAGTTTCCCATTAATATCATGATCACTGTATGCTGAAGAAGTATAACTGGGAAGATTCTTTTGATTGTCACTTGAAACAAAATACCAAGATCTTATGTCTTAGATTGGTATTTCTATGTATCTTTAAAACATCAAGGAGGGAATAAAAATGCTGGTTCACACATTTGGGGAAGCTGTTGGATGAGGTCAACTTGAAAGCATGGAGTCAAGTATCATCAATATGCAAAACGTTGTGCATCTTGACCCTAAGCCAATCTAGTGACACTTTCAAGATACTGTTGCAGTGCCTGAAGGTTGTTGGGGTCTGAATATAGAGAAGATAGGCTTAAACTCATCTCTAAGTGGTAAATGCCATGGCATTAAGTGAACTTATGGTTCATTATGGGCGTGATTTTATAAAAAACTGGAAGTAAATGTCATAAAACCGTCATAAAACATAGTCACA